ACAGAAGATGATTTTGGAAGAGAGAAAGACATTAGTTCTTGGGTCCTTCCTAATTCGGATCACTTCAGCTGGCCCATGTACATAAATGCCTCTGTTTCTAGGCTCTGAAGAAATATTTTCTTTCCCATGCCTCATCAGAGGCTCCCGACGTTTCCCCATCCTCTGCCTACCTACTCGGTACAGGAAGGTTCCGAGGCCTCTGACCAGTCTCCTGCTTAGCCTCCCTCAGGGTACCCAGTTCTGTCCAGCTTTCCTCCTTCTCAATATGGGGGAAAACAGCTCTCTGGGACCTACAGGAGTCTGCATACTTGGTCCTCACCCTCCATCACTCCGCCTCTTTTGAAACCCCGGTCTATACCAGGCTTCTTTTGACACCTTTGTCTTGCTTCCATAGCTGGGGTGGGGAAGCAAGCACACTAGCCTGATTCTTTCTCTCTCGCTAGATACTAGGGCCCTCTTTGCTCTGGGAAGATATCCCAGCTCCAGTATTTCACCACCTCATCCTCTCCCTGTGCATGCTAAGGTTATCTCTGTCCTTGAACCCATAAGATGTTTCTAGAACCCTGTCCCAAGAATCCAGCTCTTTTAGATTAGACATGCCTCTAATCTGCCTCAGTGCCTTCCCTGTACATATGTGTCTCCCTTTACCTAGACTTAACCACGGTCATCTCAGTTCAGCCTGTCTCACCCTCTCTGTCTCTGCCTCCACTCTATCTGACCCCCCTACTCGCCCCCAAATAAGGTTCCACGCACAGATTTGTCCGATCTTCTTCCTTGCTGGTAGTTTGAGCCCACACCGGCCTAAAGAATGGAAGAAACGACAAATCAGCGAGGGTGAGGGGCTTACTTAAGGTGGAGCACGTTTTTTCCCAAACGTTCCACTCTTAAACTGGCCCGTTCCAGGCAATCTTCCTTCGGTTCCTCCTACCGGGCCACTGCTCCTGCTCGGTTCCTTACTCCACGTGGCCTGATCACATTCTGGCCGCGTCTCTGTCCCCTGTCTAGCTTTGTCTCCTCTGACTGACAGTGTTCAACCAGAGAGGCATGAACTGATGAACAAACAAATGAATGAACGAGTGAGTGGGTGGATGGATGGAGGAAAGGGGGCCGAAGGCGAGGGCTTAGAGAACCTGGTTTGGAACCCAGCCCTCCACTCCTGCCCAAAGCGATGTTTATGCTAGGTCCCGAGGTCAGAAGAAATTGGCTCCCCGAATGATTGACTCAGGCTGGGGAAGATCAACCTTAGAGGACTCTGACCAATGAATATGATCCCCACTTTAGAAGACTTTTCCTCTGCCAGGCTCCCACTCCCTCTCTGCAATTGCGCGCGGGGTGGGATGGGGTGGGGTGGGGGTGGGGGAGATTGACTAGGATCAACTGATGGAAGGCAGAGCCTTCTGGTTACCCTGGCAACCGTCCCAGCAACTGTCCAAGGCCTCCGGTCAGCCTTTGCCTGGGCCTCTCTAGTCACCCAGACAACCGCTACCTCGTTCTGGTCAACCATCAACCCTTCTCCCGTCACCCTGGCAACCATCAGTGGACCCACCACCTTGGTGTCGATTCTCATCCAGCCTACAGATTTTCTCGTCCCAGACCTCCACTCTAGGCTCTGAGAGCCCCTCCTCTTGATCTGCAGGGAGACAGGCCTTGGTTCCACTCTATAGTGTGTGTAGGCCGGGCCCTAAGGGTCCCGGCTCTGCAGTCTGAGAAAGTCCTTTCCTGTTCCCCCTGCTCATTCTTGCATGAACTGTCCAGCCGCCACAGGCAGCTCTTCAAAATGCAAGCCATGTACCTCCTCTGCGGGGGGAAAAAAAATCGCTCGGCTTTCTTTGACAATCAGTCGGCTTGCAGCCCCTGATGGTCTGGGAGTGACTAGTCTCCGGTTATTCCAATGTCCAGAGCTCATTCCCTCCTCAGACCTTCCTAGGAACTGTTTCCCATTCCTGGGAAAAGTTCATCCGGACCTGCCCCCTCGAGGACTGTGGCTCCTTAGGGAGGCCTTATCTGAATTCTGTCACTCACTGACATAGCCTCTTAATCCCTCCCATCTGTGAACTCCAGAATTCCAAGACGGTCCATTCTATGACTCACGATGTATGCCGCGAACTGACAACAGTGGCCGGAGTCGGTGCAAGGGAGGACAGAGAACGATGGTCAGGACAGGCAGCTCTGGTTAGGCAGGCTCATTTCCAAAATAGAAAGCATTTTTTTTTTTTTCAGGTTTCCCAAGCCCTCATGCTACAGGTGATATTGTTTCCAGAGGATGAGCAAAGCCAGGGCAGTGGGGGCCCTCAGGATAGCGCATCTGGTAAAGGTGCTTGCTGCAGCCTGATGTCCTGACTTAATCCCTGGGACCCACAAGGTAGGAGAGGAGGAACTTTTGCAAGCTGACTTCTGACTTCCTCAGCAAACATTGTAGCTCTAGCACCACATAAACAATAAATAAACAAATAACTAAATAAATGTAATTTTAAAAACCAAGAAGGCAGGCAGTTAGGATGGTTGGGTGAGTTAAGATGCCTGATCACCAAGTCTGATGAACTGCATTCTGGTTCCAGGACCCACCTAGCGGACAGAAATAGCCAACTCCTGCAAGATGTCCTCTGACATCCCATGTACACATACCCCCCCCACACACACACACATACACAAATGCACATGAAATAAATAAATAAAATGCAATTTTAAAAAAGAGAGACTGGGTACATGCCTTTGATTCCAGTCCTTAGGAGGCAGTGACAGGTAGATCTCTGTGGGTTTGAGGCCAGCTATGGCTACATGGCGAGATCTTGTCTCAAAATAAATAAATAAAAATTAAAAACAACAACAACATAATAAACAGCTGCACATGGTAGTATACGCCTTTAATCCAAGTACTAGTGATCCAGAAGCAACTGATGTCTGTGAATTCCCAATCAGCCTGGTCTACATAGCAAATTCTAGGCTATACAGTAAGACCCTGTCTCTAGATAAGTAGTCAGCTAATTAGCTAATTAATTATAAAAGATAAGGTAAGAGAAATAATGATTTTTATGAGCATTCTGGAGCCGGTGGTCCACCTCATACTTGGTCTGTAATTGTTTTATTTTTCTAAGACTGTGTTTCGTTTTGTAGCCTAAGCTGGTTTCAGGCTCACTCTGTAGCTCAAGTTGGCCTCGAACCTATGATCATTTTCCACAGCCCCCACTGTACTGAGATTATAGTCTTGCACCACCCACCACGCCCGACCTTCACCCTCCATTTGGAGTCTGAGTCCACAGGCTGTAGACACTCAGCAGAATTTTGGCCAAGTCATATATGAGAGCGTACACCTGTAGCCCCAGTACTCAAGAGGCTTTGGGGAAAAAAATCTCCAGTTCAGCACTGGCCTCAGCTATGAATAACAAAAAGTGGCAATTTGGAACAAAAGATAATAAGAGCTGGAGGCCTCAGATCCCAGATAAAATATATATATATAGTGTGTGTGTATATGTGTGTGTATGCATGCACATGTGTCTTTATGCACATGCGGAGGTCAGAGAACAAGTTCTGAGAGTCAGGTCTGACCTTGCGTCGTGTGAGCCTCAGGAATTGAGGTCAATGGCCATCAGGCCGAGTGGCAAGCACTATCACATGCTCGCAGATGGCCACGCGGTGAGCTGCTCCCTTCTTGTGCCGAGTCTAGCATCCCAGGCTTTCTAACAGAACCCAGAGATATTTCCCTGAGGATGTGAGACAGGATGAGAAGAGAGAATTTAACCTGCCTTGAATTTGGTCATGATGGAGAGGGGGATCATGGGGAGCCGCCCTGGGTTAGCTGGAGAGGAGTGGAAGCACTCACCTGTTCTCCTACGAGGATTCATTCTTGGTGAGGTGATTAGAAGCTGGCAGGGAGGCACCTTACTCTTTGTTGTCCTTATTTATTTTATTTTTGAGAAAATGATCTAAAAGTTGTGTTTATTTTTTCCTCCATTTAAACCCTTCGATGATATTCTTGGCCTGAGAGTCTTTGCCATAGCCCTTGACCACTACACATCTGCAATCAACCTCTTTACCTGGCTTTCCCTCCCCTTCAGTCTCGAGGCCTACCCATTCCCCTGGTTTCTTGTTGTCACCAACCTTGATTACGTTGTTTCGGTGCTCAGCACAAAGCGTCTCCACCAGCTTGGCAGAGGCCCATTGCAGCTGGATCTCAGCACCCAGGATGGACTTAGTATTTGTCTAAGACCCTGACACCTTCATGGATGCCAAGCTCTCGGCTGTTGTGGATGAGGGCAATCTTCAGCGCCCCTTGTAAAGCAGTCCTGAGGTCCCTTACACCTCCAGCTGCAATGCCTTCCTCAGCCATGGCCCTTGGCCATGGATTATGGATTACAGGCAAGGCCGAATCTTGATCACACCCTACCCTCCACGTCCTCACAACTCCAAAGCAGCAGGGGGAAAAGCTCTCGTTATTCGTTTATTAAGGCATGGTACTGCTGTGAAGCCCAGGATGGCATTGACTAATACAATATTCCCACTTCAGTTCTTCAAGTGTTGAAATTACAGGGGTACACCATTATGTCCAACAAGCCCCTCTTTCCTTGTAAAAGTTGATTTACTTATTTGGTATGCATGTGGTTGTGTGCACATTCAACTGAACTCAGACCGTCAGGCTTGGTGGCAAGTGCCCTCATCTACGAAAGAGTCTCATACAACCTTCTGTGCTTAGGTGATTTGGCAGTTAAAACAGTTGTTGTGACCAAGGCACTGTGTTTTTAAAAATATGTATTTCTTGCTGGGCAGTGGTGGCACACGCCTTTAATCCCAGCACTCAGGAGGCAGAGGCAGGCGGATCTCTGAGCTCCAGGTCAGCTTGGTCTACAGAGTGAGTTCCAGGACAGTGAAGGCTTCACAGAGAAACCCTATCCTGAAAAAAAATTTTTTTTTCTTCATTGAATTTTTTTATGTGTATGAGTGTTTCGCTTGAATGTATGTATGTGCATGCCTGTTGCTCAGGGATGCCAGAAGAGGGTATCAGATCCCTTGGACATGGATTTACAGATGGTTGTGAAACCCCATATGAGTGCTGAGAATTGAATTCATATCCTGCACAAGAGCAACAAATACTCTTAACCCCTTACAGTCACCTTCCCAGAGACACTGAATTTTTCATAGCAAATGAAACTTCATTTTAGCTAATTAATATTTAAATTGAAGTATCACTGTAGGTTAGGAAGAAATTGGATGCAGCCGGTGGTGGAGGTGCATGCCTTTAATCCCAGCACCCCAGAGGCAGAGGCCGGCAAATGTTTGAGTTCAAGGTCAGCCTTGAACTCTACAAAGTGAGTTCCTGGACAGCCAGGGCTACACAGAGAAATTCTGTCCCAAAAACCAAAAAGAAATAAATTGCATGCACTATTGAATAAGCCCTAAGCTGCAGATTGGAGGTGGAAAACCAGATAGAAAGGTTAGAATTTGTGGTTTGTGTAGCTACTGAGGAAGGAACACTTTGGGAAGGTGAGTCCCATCAACTAACTCCATAAGGGAGAAGCATTCCTAGCTGCCAGAGTCCAAGAGGTTTCTCACCCATGCAAACACCCACGCTATGTGTGAGCCAGGGCAACCATAGATGCTTTTTGTGCGCAACGCTGGAGCCATTTGCTGTGGGTGAGCTGGGAGTCCATTCTGTGCCACACTGCACAGACTCTCAGATACACAAGGATGTGGGTACGTGATCCCGCAAGTATCATGTATCTGTTGGACTGGGGAGCAGGGGCTACTCGTCCAGCAGGTCTTGCAAGAAGGCCCACATATACTGATGCATCTCCTGAGGATGGCTCTGTGGAATCCAATGCCCACTGCCTGGCAGGATGTGGCTTTTCAGCCGACCCGGCACAAAACGACTACCAATGGCCCCCACAAGCCCCTGCTGTAAGGTGTGGTCTTTCTCCCCCCACAGCAGCAGTGTGGGCGTGGACAGTTCTTGGGGCTCCCGGGGGAAGTTCCTATGACCAAGATAGACAATTAGAAAGAATGGCTACCCTCGGTTTTTCAAGGGAGGGGCGGGCACTCTCCTGAGCTTCTCTCCTGGGTGTAGCCTTACCTGAACAGGTTCCGATAGTAGTTGAGGGGCCCGGTGAGGCCTCCAGGTTGTGAGAAGTGATAAAGGAAAGCTTCGAGTTCACAAGGGGTCAGACGCGGAATACCCGTCTTGCGGTCGGTGAAAATGGCTTTTAGAATCTGGGTGTACACAGTAGAGTGCCGGTTTCAGTGTCGGGCCTTCTCAACCTCAAACTGCTATCCCCCCATTCTTAGACCTCAGCCCTCACTGCACCTGAAAGTCGGACAAAGATAATAGCGTCTCTGGCAGCCAGGGAAGCTGGAACAGGAACATGTAGTTTGATCGGAATAACTGGCCAATGTGACGGATTGAGTATTCTGGGAAGAACGTAAAAGATGTGAGGTCTGGGCTTGAGACAGCCCTGTGATCCTGTATCCTTATGCACGCAGCTCAGGCACACAGGCATCTAGAGCACCACTACTGCTGGTCTGTCTGTGAAGATGCTAGTCAGGTACTGCGAACACTCTGGCCAGGTACTGACCTGCCAAGCTGTCTTTCCAGCTGCAGAACAGGCAAAGCCGGAGCCATGGTTCAGTGTTTAGAAGTGCTTGCTGCTTTTCCAGAGGCCCTAAATTTGTTTCCTAGTACTCATGTTGGGTGGCCTGTAACTCTAGCTCCAGGGAATCTAATGCCCTCTTCTGGCCTCCATGGCACTCATGTACACACACACACACACACACACACACACACACACACACACACACACATATACTGGGAGAGAAACAGAGAAAGATAACAAAATAACTTCTTTAAAAAAAAGAACAGGCGGTGGTAACTCAAAGAGATCTGCCTGCCTCTGCCTCCCGAGTGCTAGGATTAAAGGTGTGTGCTTGGATTGTTTGAATAGCAAGTGCTCTTCGCTACTGAGCTCTCTTTCCAGCCCCGCCCCCGCCAGTAATAGGTGTATGTTAGTATAGCCAGCTCCACAAACTTCCTTCATATACAAAATTGCTAAAATTATTGTGTTAATTACTTTCAGTTTATGTGTAGAAACTGTATAGGAAGATTAAATTAATTCCATGCTTAGATTTAGGCTCTAGCAACAAGTTATCTATATTTGTAAATACTGTAAAATAAAACAAAATACAAAATCAGAAACACTCCTGACCAGGGCGTCCTCTCCCTCCTCTCTCTCTCTCTTTCCCTCCCTACTTCTCTCTCTTTCAAAACGTTGGAGATTACATCCAGGCCCTCTAATATACTGAACAAATGTTCATATACTCCAGCCCTAGTCCAAAGCATTTTGTTGACTCACTCCAACCTGGAAGCACTCAAAGAAAAAATGTGGGTTGTTCCTAAGGGTACTCTCATTGATTTCAGTCTCTGACATGGTGACAGGTCCCAGATACATACCCTGGTATTGAGGCATATCCCAACACTCCCAACACACCTTGGAACACTGACATAGGAGGTCCACCGACCACGACCATCCGCTCCACTAGAGACGGGAAGTAGATGGAGAAATCCCAGGCAAGGACAGCCCCCCAGTCATGGCTCACAAGGATGCACTTGGAGTACCCTGGGGGACACGACGGTGTAAGATGTAGTAGGAGTGAGGCAGAAGTATGGGAGTGGGTCCCAAAAGGGGCAGATGAGGAGATGAGGGTACAGGAGGGGAGGGGCCTCTCCTGAATTGGGCACTGACTCATACCCAGGCCTAGAATGATATCCTTGATATCAGCCAACAGCAGATCAACGGTATAACAATTCACATCCTTTGGAGCATCAGAGGGGCCATAACCACGCAGGTCAACAGCTACCACATGGAAACGGCTCTGAAACTCCCGAAGCTGGTGGCGCCAGGAGAACCTGCCCGGTGAGGGAGTTTGGAGTTGAGTCAGCCGCCTGCAGGATGTACCTCCTATACCTGGCAGATACCTTGAGTCACCCCACATTTCTGTTCTGGACTTCTTAGAAAGGAAATGGGGAAATCCCAGGCAGAGGGGCCCAAGGCCACCTCACCTTCAGCAATCCTCTTGTTCAATCTCTTCAGAGGGATAACCAGCCCCCTGGGCCAGCGTCTAGATCCCTTTGCAACCCATGTGGACTTCATATGCTCTGCACCCCCACAGCTACTCAACCCCGCTGGTTCCCATTTCCTAAGTAACCCGTGGTCAGAACTCTACCCAGTCCAGGGAGCACCAGAACCCAGGGACCAAGACGTACCAGTTCTCTGGGAAGCCATGCAGAAACAGCATAAGGGGCCCGTTGCCACGACCAGCGGAGACATAGTGAAGCCGCAGACCCGAACTCTGCAGGAGGGCCCAATCTAAGTAAGAACTGAGGAAGGTAAGGGAGCTTCCTTCCTAGATGAGCCCCCGAGATCGATTTGGATTCGACGTTTCAACCCCCTTTCTTCATTCCGCATCCACCCCACGAAACCTGCCTCCAAGAGGCACTCACCCTAAGGGTCAGAAAGCAGTGCTGGCCCAGCGTGGGGTCTCTCAGGCAGCCCGGCGCCGACAACCGCTGGCGGCCGCGACAGCCCCGGCGCGGACGGCACAGCACGTTGGTGAGCGCGATGCAGCTGTAGACGATCGCGGCCACCAAGGCAGCCAAATACACCAGGCTCATCACTAAAGCTCGCAGCAACTTCAGCGAGAGGCGTGAGGGCGCCAACAGCGCAGTCACCACAAACTCCGGCATATCCTCGCGCTCGGGGACGACGACAGAGTCCTGGACGGAAGACTGAGCCGGGGGTTCTGGCCCCGGGGGCCCACCGCCTTTGTTTTGGGATCCCACTGTGCTGTCCGGCGCTGCGGGAGCCGCTGAGGAAGCAGGTGACCCGCTGGGGCAAAGACTGCCACCGCACATGACTCACTCCGAAGTGGCAGGTGAACTACCTGGGCCGGATGAAACACTTAAGGATGAAGGGGTGGAGCCTAAAAGAACCTGGTTCTGTGGTTGGGGAGGAACTTGGGGGGAAAGAGGGACCGTGGGCGGTGCCCTAGGACATCTTGAATGGAGTTTAAAACAGGAACAGGGGATTAAAATGATTCCCGTAGCAGGCGGAGCCTGGAGATGATCCAGCAGATAAGGGCCACACAAGTTTGATCCCAGGGAACCATACAGTGGAAGGAGAGAACTGACTCTCACAAGTTGTCCTCTGTCCACACTCATGCTGCAGCACGTGCACACCTTGGTGCTTTAATCTCAGCCCTCGGGAAGCAGAAACAGATAGATCTCTGAGTTCGAGGGCAGCTGCTTTACTTAGCAAGTTCTAGACCGGTCAGGGCTACATTAAAAAGCAAACGAACAACAAACAAACAAAACCAGCAACTGGCAAGGCTCTAAAAAAGGAGAGGTGAAACTTGGAGGAACAGAGGCAAGAGTCCTGTGAAGTGGGTGGAGCCTTGAGCGAAGGGGCGTGGCATATCCAGGGTGGGTAGACCCAATTTAGTCCAGAAGCCCGCACGGGTGAAGGGAGTGGTTTATGAAGGTGGAGGAGGAATTAGGCGGAGTCTGTATTTGGATGAGAAAGACAGAGGCTGGGCTTGGTGGCTTGGGTAAAGGCCAGACCCAAGAACTGAAATTTGTTCTGGAGCTGGAAAGGGGCCGGAAACATGAGTGTGGAACAAATCCAGAAGCGGAAGGCCAGACAACGCTATATAGCTGGGAGTAGTAGGGCGGTGTGGGCAGGAGAATTCTCCCCGTGTACTTCCCAATACTTCCCAAGCGAGAGGGCGCGACATTCCCTTGACCTGGTCTGAATGTACCCACCAGTGCTTTACCTGGTTCCAACCCCGCCGTGTCCTCTTCTTTCGTTGGCTTAGAAACTCCTACACGACTGTGATCGAATAGCAGTGGCCATTGATTTCTAAACGACAGGTGGGGCCTAGGTGTTAGACAGCCGGTGTTGAGGTGCAGGTTCTGTAGGTGGCAGACAAGCATGGGCAGACCCTGCCTCCCGGAGAACTGGAAGCTGGAGCTAGTCTGGGCAGACTGGGTCACTGGGGCTCTGCTTCAAAGAGGAAGCAGGGCAGTACCCGGTATGAGTCGCATCTCAGCAAGAGGCTAGCTTCTTTTGCAACCCTTGACTATTTTAGGAACATCCACTATTTAACCCTTATAGAAACCCTGGCACATGTAGGTAGCGTTATCATATTCTCACATTAGATTATGAACCTGAAATTCGGGAATGAGGTCATTTTGCCTGGAGTCCTATATCTGGCTTAGCAGCAACCAAGGACAATACAGAAACAGCAATCTGTGCTTCATTCAACACCGAGGCCACTGACAAGATTTCAGATTTCTTCTGGTGGTTATTTAGGTATCAGAGAAATACTGGCTATTTAGAAACATGCACTTCTGTAGCTGCTTCTGTTACTGTGGTACTAGTGACAGAGGCCAGAGCTTTTGCACGTGCAGGGTAAGCACTTCAGCAGGGAGCTTCACCCTTAGCCTTAAAAACTTGATTGCTGGCAGGGCGGTGGTGGCACATGCCTTTAATCCCAGCACTCGGGAGGCAGAGGCAGGCAGATCTCTGTAAATTCAAGGCCAGCCTGGTCTACAAGAGCTAGTTCCAGGACAGGCACCAAAAACTACAGAGAAACCCTGTCTCAAAAATCAATCAAACAGGGCTGGAGAGATGGCTCAGAGGTTAAGAGCATTGCCTGCTCTTCCAAAGGTCCTGAGTTCAATTCCCAGCAACCACATGGTGGCTCACAACCATCTGTAATGGGGTCTGGTGCCCTCTTCTGGCCTGCAGGCATACACACTGACAGAATATTGTATTCATAATAAATAAATAAATAAATATTTTTAAAAAAATCACCACCATTAAAAAAAAATCAATCAATCAAACAAACAAAAAACTTGATTGCTATTAGTCAGCCGTTAAAAAAAAAATTGCAGGCATGAAATTTGTAGGCAAATGAATGGAACCAGGAAGAAAATCTTCTTGAGGTAACCTAAACCTAGAAAGATAAATATGGAATGAATTCACTTAAATGTGAATAACCATAAATAAATGATAACCAACCTACAATCTGTAGACCCAAAAGAGGTTAGGTATAGAGAAGGGAATTAGGAGGAAACATGAATCTCCCTGCGAGGGATTTTAGAATAGATTTCACGTGGGGATATGTGGGGATTGGAACAGGAGGATCAGATGGGGAGGGAAAATAGGGTTGAGAGAGGCATTGAACATGGAGAAGTGGAGATGGTGCTCATGGAGCCTTCACCCCTATATTCTAGTGTCTTTGGCATGGGAAGGTACTCTGCAGGCTATCAATTGCCTTATTCAGTTATCATCAGAGAAGCTTCCTCCTGCAGCTCATGGAGCAGATGCAGAGACCCACAGATGGACATCACATGGAGACAGAGCCCCTTGGAATATACAGCTCTAAATAGGAGGACTCTATCAAATCCCTCCTCTCAGAGCTCAAGGAACCCCCTTCCTCAGGGGTTCCTCTGTGGAAAAAGGAGTTGGGGGGGGGGGGGGGGCCCAGTGTTTCTCTGTGTAGCTTTGGAGTCTGTCCTGGAACTCGCTCTGTAGCCTCAAATTCACAAAGATCTGCCTGCCTCTACCTCCTGAGTGTGCCATTACCGCCCAGAGACAAGATCTTATAATTCTCTTGTGCTTTAGCCTCCTGAGAAGCCACAGATGCCTAAGTGACTAGTTCTTAGGGGACAGGGTCCTATAGACCCTAGAGCTGGTTTCAATTTAGCGAATGACCAGGAACTTCTGATCCTCCCTCTTTTGTTCCCGAGTGTTACAATTACAGGGATGCATCACCACCTCTGGCTTGTGTGTTGCTACAACTGAACCTAGAACTTTTTTTTTTTTAAACGATTTATTATGTATAGAACATTCTGCCTTCTTGTATGCCCGCACGCCAGAATGGCCATTCCAGATGGTTGTGAGCCACCATGTGGTTGCTGGGAATTGAACTCAGGACCTCTGGAAGAGCAGCCAGTGCTCTTAACCACTGAGCCACCTCTCCAGTCCCAGCTAGAACCTCTTTCATGCTAGGCAAGCATGCTACCAGCTGGGCCACACTCTCTATAAGTGGTTAGTTATACGTTTACCATCTTGGAGCATTGTCTATCAATTCACTTTTTCATTTTTTGGTTTTTCGAGACAGGGTTTCTCTGTAGCTTTGGGGCCTGTCCTGGAACTAGCTCTTGTAGACATGGCTGGCCCTGAACTTACGGAGAGCTACCTGCCTCTGCCTCCCGAGTGCTGGCATTAAAGGCGTTACGCCACAATTGCCCAGCTTATTAAGTCACTCTCATTATTTATTTGACGTGGTTCCTCACTTTTCTACACTTCCCACTGTTACAAGCTTTATCAAACAGGACTCTAAACAGTATTTTTATTCTACCCAAGGATGATTAAACTTGTGGCAAATGGCCACACACATTATTTGGCCTCAGTAAATAATGCACTTTATTGTTCTTAGACTTTACCATCCTCTTTCTTTTCTCGCATGATTAATTAGTATTGTTTTTTTGGGGAGGGGAACAGGCTGGCCACCTACTCACATTTTTCTTACCTCCAACCCTCCTGAATGTTGCAATTTAACTTTGGTTTCTTTAATATTCCATAAAATCAATTATATCACATAAGTGTTCCCAGGAACTATCTCTCCTGAGCCTCCGACTTGGCTCTTTGGCTGATAGGCATCTGAGAACTTCCCTTCATTAAACTCCATACTATACAACCTTGTCTCTAAACACCAATTCACCTTCATTTTCCAATTCTACACTCAAAAAGACATCAGTAATCACAGGAGGGTAACTTTATATTCAGTACAAATGTTTATTTTTGCAATGAGAACTGCACAAAAAAAAACCCCTTTAGTATATAAGTGAAAAGTCTACGAATTCCCTTCTACAAATGTCTAAAGTATTTTAATACAAGATTCACTGACATAATTATTGGCCAAGCAACCCGTGCATACAGTACATTAGGGGCTTGTACACACCTCTTATTCTTGTATAGGACTAAAACTGTAAGAAGGATTTGAAAATGGTCAGAAATTAAATAGATCCCAGTTCTAATTACAACCCAGTTAGAGGAACACCTATCAGGGAGGTGTGGAGGTCATGTAAAACTTGAGCAAGAATGTACAGATAAATCATTTCCCCAGCTTAAAAGTGGGGCCCAGCATGGGGAAATCATCTCAACAAGAGAAAACATGAGTGGGATGTGGTAGAAACCTCAGAGGACCAGAACACCATTGTTCCTGCAAAGTAGTATATGAAACGCTTGGAGGGGGATAGGACCTTAAAAATAGGGAGGTGAACACTGGCTAGGTACCCTAACTGTGCCCTACACTGAGGTTTGGCCTTTCTGGTGGAGGGGTCCAAGGTATGGATTAACAGTGCTAGAAATATTTCAACTTGTCTCTGCATACATATAATTATTTATCTTACATCTTAGGGACTATTCTTGGGTGCCACCCATGCCTTGTAGCTGGGGCATGTGTGAACAGGTGAGCACAAGGCAGCAAAGCCATCTGGAGGCTTTCTCAGCAGAAATGTGTTGATATGTGGGGACACAGAGATCCTATTTGGAGGGAATGTACACTTACCTAAGAGTATCTGGTTAACCCTGAGCTTAAATCAAATTAGAAGTTAGGTAGAGGCAAGCATGGTGGGAAAGTGGTCCAGAGCCTTGTGTGAAGAGGGGACCAGGGTGGAGAAGCGCCCTCAGAGTGTAGTCTG